TTCTTATCTTGTGACCTACTGGGGGAAATCTACAGACACATTCAATCACATCTACAGAAAATATATTTACTTCTGTTTGGATATCTTTTAATTCTGAATTCATCCCAAACAACTTTGCTTGTGATCTGCATTGTATTCATAACATTTCTTTTTATCTAATAATACAGGTACTTATGTAGTATTTATTCTCAAATATTTTCTGTCTTTAAAGGAAGTTCTGTAAAAAGTGTCTAAAAACTTAAATCAACAGGCACAGAGTCTAACTTTGTTACTCTAAACTCAACCACAGTAGGAAAGGAAAGTTCAAAGCTATAACTCTGCATGGCTGCCAAAATACACAAGCCCTATCTCTCTGGATTGAGTCGGTTGAGTCCCACTGTGATGATGGAGCTCAGGCTGCAAGAAGAGTTCATGCTGGGCTGACTCTGCAGTACCACCCTAGAATGCAATGTGCAGTATCTATTTGGTACTCCCTTGGGCTGGGAATTTATAGCAAACACTGCTTTTGGGAACAGTGTTAGCAGCTGAAATACTGCAGCACAAAGAGGCCTCCCAGTAACTCTGAGCTACTACTACAGTGCACACAGATAATAAAAATAATATTTTGCTTGTTCATCTGAAGTAGTTTCTGAATCGTCAATTTACGTGATAGTAAATAACTGTTACTTAAATCTGGTCAACTGAGACAAACACAAATATATGCTGCTTAGAATTCAAAGTAGAGAAATCCAGCAGGATAGCAGAGGCAAAAAGGGTATTATACTGAAATGTCCAAAAAACCTTATCTTAGTCTGGGAGCAAATATCTTTTCTTAAAATGCTAGTACATGGCAAAGAATAGTAATATAAGTAGATCGATAAAACTAAAGGAAATGTTTTAATTTCTGCCAATGTTTTTTAACAAAACTGACAGTGCTCACACTTTGTTCCAATTTGTTTTTGTTTTCTTAAGGTCTTTTTTTAAGATGGTATGACTTGTTAAACAAAGACCTGAAAATCATAGGCCTTGGCTCTCTTCTGAGCAAAAACATTACTGGGTACTGATTTTTGTTCTATTTTATAAATGAGGCTTTATCAAAGCTACTGCTGTTCACTCTTGGGTGAATGACTTAACCTGACTACAACCTAACCTCTTCACTATTCAAAAGGAGGTAGTCTATAATTAAGTGAACTTAGTAGCTTGGCTCAGATCTTTACATTAAAACTTCTGTTGGAGATTCTCTTATTTCAAAAATGTAGAAATTTAAAATGCAACAATTTTAAAATCAAAGCTAAAATTCTTATTTAAGAATTCTCATTTAATTACCTTATTTTAGTAAATACTCTTTTAATCTGTATATGGCTGGAAAATTAGCATCTTCCAGTTCACTGCTCACTAGAATACATTAAAAGTGACAAATGGTTACAAAACTGATCTTTAACATTCAAAAGGGGTCAACTATGAGGCTCTTTCATAAGCCTGCAGCTCATGTGCGTGAAAGCAATGGGCTAGTAAGAGCAAGGAAGTGTAGGTGTATGTTCCCAGCTGCTGTCCCAAGGGTTAGGGAGAGTCTCATCCATGTCCTGTATACACACCACATGGGTGGTCACGGACTACGTTGTCCCTTCCAGCAACCACTCCTTGGGTTATGAAGGGTATCATATCTCGCTCTTTGAGCCTGGGTGGCCACGTACTCTTCACACCCTCTATCAGAGTGATGGAACTCTGCTTTACATTTTCCATGCACCCTTTCCATAACCAGGTGACTCCCAATTAGTCTATGACAACGCATACAAGGTCAAAACTCCATTCCTCAGACTTGATTTTCTTAAGAATCACATTAACAGTGAGACAATCAACTCCCAAGACTCAGCTAAACCCACCTCCTCATCTTACTGCAACACAAACTCAATCTCCCTCTACCAGGACAGCCAAACTCTGAGATCTGCTTCCTCCTCTTAATTACCTCCATCTGTCAGTTCCTCCCGCTAGGGCTCTGGCAGCTGGCAGGTGCTGTGGGGTGGGGCACATTTCATCCCCACATCCAGGACACTGTGAACTGCTTCCTTACTGCTTTGTTCCAATGACATGCCCCAGTGCAAGTTAAAGTTTTCTGTTTGTTGCTTTGAAGGATGCAGTGCCAGAGTCTAAGACCAAATTTGCAGGACAGTGGAAAACTGCAACTTTTCCAGTTGCAGAGCTAAATGGAAAACTGTCTTCTGATGTAGTTCTAGACAGGTGCTAGTTCTTGGGCAAAACGAAGTGGTAACTGTGGAGAACATAAACTCTCTCAACTATGGAGTTCCTATACTGAGCTTATATTCAAGGCACATTGTAGTAAGGCTTGCAGTAAATCAAAGCAAACTTTCCCAGGAAGACATATTTTTTTCTGATTTAGATAAAATTTGGGAGGCATACACAGCTTCTTTGGGCAATGTGGTCCAAAGCCTCATCACCCTGAGTAAAAACTTTTTCCTAACATCTAATCTAAATTTCCTCTCTCTGACTGTAAAGCCATTCTCCCTTGTCCTGTTACTATTAGACTGTGTAAAAAGTCACTTTCCTTCCTGCTTATAAGCTCTCTTCAAGTACTAGAAAGCCACAGTGAGGCCTCCCCAGACCCTTCTCCAAGCTAGGCAAGCCCAACTCCCTCAACTTTTCTTCATAGGAGGAGAGGTGTTCCAGCCCTTTCATCATTTTAGTGGCCATCCTCTGGACTGGCTCCAATAGGTCCACATTCTTTCTAGTTTGGGCCTTGGGTCCCGACACAATATTCCAGATGTGTCCTTACAAGGGTAGAGTAGAGGCAGACAATCAAATCCCCCCTGCCCTCTTCTCATGCAGCTCAGGATACCGTCAGCCTTTGGGGCTACAAGAGCACACTGCTGGCTCATGTCCAGTTTTTTATCCACCAGGACCCCAAATCCTTCTCTGCAGGGTTGCTCTCAAGGAGTTCTTCTCCCAGCCTGTAAACATATCTGGGATTCCCCTGTCCCTAGTGCAACACCCTGCACTCAGTCTTGTTCATTAGGTTCTTGTGGGCCCACTTTTCGAGCCTGATCTAACATATTTCCAATGCTGTAATACATTCTTTAGAAACATAAATTACTAAAATATTGCCAAAACCTATTAGAAATAATTTCAGCAACTTTGGCTTCTCTTGCTTACTGCAGCAGAAAATCAGTTTCCAGAGAGGACCTCTTTGATGATGCTTTTTATTGTCAAACTGGTGATGAATTACAGTTGTCTGTTAGGAGATACACGAATTCAGCAGTAGAAAATACTTCTGATTAAAATCAGAACAGTAATCACACCTTTTCTTTAAACCAAGATGCAAATGCTCTGTTATGTGCTTATGTTTCTTGAATTCTAATAATGCAATACTAGGGGATGCCACAATAATGTTTTTCTTTATGTTCAGGTAAAGAAAGCAAACTGGCAAACAAAAAAAAAGAAATTATGTGTTCAGGAGAAATTGCAGTGTGTTTGTTATATGAACATATTTCAAATTAAGACATGGAATTTCCCATCTGCAAAACAAAGAAACAAAAACACAATACTAAATTCTTTCCTGTCAAAAAATAACTAGGGGAACATTCTTCTTTGTATAACTTTCACACACTCTTTAAGTGGCAAAAGCTATGCCTACCGGATTTAGATCATGTAATACAACTATATTTATTAATGGACCTTCTGCAAGTGGGAAAGCCACTAAAAACTGCACGTTTACTCAACAATCACATTCAAGGAAAACTTGATGTGTTGAGCCTGTTCAAACGAAATGGTTTCTTCACTAGAAAAAAATGCAATCCAAAGGGAGGAACTTAGGCTTGGAAGAATTTTGCCTAACACTGTCATGTATCTGATAGCTGTAATTGCAGGTGTTCCAAAACAGTAAGATTTAGGAGAAATGAGATGTACAAAATGCTCCAAAATAAGGCGAGGTCTCCCTATTCATCCAAGCTTGTCAAGTGCACATACTAAGGTCTTTAAACAAACTATTCTAATAATTATCTTGAAAGCTCTTCAGGTTAGAAACTTCACAGAGAGCCAAGCTTATGAAATGACAGATAAATCTGAAGATGATCTAACTGTATACAAAAAACGTCTATAAAATAAGTATCTGGCTATGGAAAAGTGTTGGTTGTGTACTCAGTGTGGCAATATGTTGTGTTTACATGAATGGAATATGCATAAACTTCTACTTCTAAATTATAGAGACATGTGAATTGTGGCCTACTGTTTTGTGCTATGTCAAGCTGTAATGCTTGAATCTTTTCAGTAACCTTTGAACGACCTTGTACTTGGAAAATGTTTTAAACTCCTATTTAGTCATTATAGTTGTTTAGCAGCTAACTCAAGTATATTGTTTTGTAAGTAAGGTTGGCTTCTTGTTGCCCATGTGTAATAGGGAACTTATAGCCAAAAGGACAACAATACGAATATTAGGAAAACATGAAAAGTGGTGCTTTAAAAAAAAAAAAAGAAAAAAAAAAAGGCAAGGATGTGGAAAAAATGATGATTGCATATTAAATAATGAATGGATAATGTAAGGGAAAAAAATGAATTTTAAACTCCTCAAAACAAATGGAAAAGTTAAAAACTTAACCACATTAAAATTAAGGCAGCATGGTCATTACAGTTAAATGAACATGTGTTAATGTACAAAGATAAATAAAGGAGTAAAAACACAACCTTGACATGTTGAGGTTTTACAATCTGCAAGGAACAATAAACAACAATAGAAAAGAAAAATAAAAAAAATATTCCACAGAGAGACATTATATTGATCAGGTAATTGCTGAATTGCAACATCTACCTATAGAGGCATACCTACAGGTGATACTATCATACAGTTTTACATAGAGAGTCATAATAGTTTTATATACAAATAATTATGTAAATTAGATGTTTTGAATAGTTACTGTTTTAACCTTCTAAGAAGAGACTTAAGAGTTCAACATGCTTCAAAACCCAACTTTTACAAGCAAATCCATTATCAGCAGTGCTGGATTCTTTGTCAGGTCAGCTGGGGGAAGGACTGGACATTTCAATGTGTAACTTATACGTGAATTTTTCTGCAAGTAAGAATTTCAATTTTTGCCACAATGGTACACTTGGGACAACTTTTCTGATACCTGTGCAGAAATGATAACAGATGGGTTAGGAAAATATGCATCATAGGTGCAAAAATAGTCCTACAGCAAAGTGGTGATGCTGCTGAAATGCAGTAGAGTCAGTGCTTACTTCCAGGTTGAAAAACATACTGACCTTATATTTCGACCTCCTTCCTCACCTGTTTGGGAAAAAAATTGTAGCTTTTTTTTTGAGTCTGTTGTTTTCCATGCAGGCTACAGAAAGCATTGCAACATCTGCTTGGGCAACACCATTTGCTCCTTTATTAAAAAACAACGCACTCTGCATACCATGTTTTTAGATCATGTACATTTACGTAGATGCTCACACACAAATATTTCACAGAACGGCCAGGGTTGGAAGGGACCTCGAGGATCATGAATCCCCATGAATTTCACGAGATCCGACAGCTCTTCCAGGATTAATTTCCAGTTGTAGGCTCTTAAACCCAACCGAAGGGAACAAAACGTCTGGATAGTCCTGCCGGATGAGACAAAGTTCGGGGCTCCCGCGGCTCGGGGGAGTCCAAGGCAAAACGCCGCACCTGCTCGGCGCCGCCCCCGCTCCTGGACGCTGAAGGACAACGCGCCTCACCGCCCCGCTCTGGAAGGCGCACGGAGGGCGCATGCGCGGCCCCGCCGCTCGGGCGGGCAAATTCAAACCTGCCCTCGCGCCCCTCCGCTCCGCAGGGGTAGCGGCTGGGCTGACGTCATTGCGCCGCGTCCTTCTCCGTGGTTTCCGGCGCTCGTGCGCGCGGTAAGTGGAACCGAAGGGGTGAAAGTTTTCGTTTGTGCGGTTCGCGGCACCGCTTCTCTCTTTTCTCCCTCAGGAGCGGGCGGGCGCTCTCCGCATCCCTTCCTGCCGCCTCGGGGCCTGCGAGCTCCGGCTACAGGCTGTCGCAACGACGCCGGCGATGGCAGCGGGGCGCCTGGAGGCGGCCGCATCGCGGGTGGCTGTGCTGGAGGAAGAGCTGCGGTGCCTGGCGGAGGAGCTGAGCCGCTGCCAGGTACCTGAGCGCGGGGCGCGGCGCTGAGGGGCGGCCGGAGCGGCGCGGCCGGGGCCCGCCAGTGCGTCTGGTGCCGCTGGGCCGCGGGTTTGGGCGGGCGGGTGGGGACAGCCGGGGGAGCGGCCCCGGAAAGTCGCGGGCATCCCGCGGGGCCCACCTGCCCGGCGGGTCCGGGCAGTGGCGCTGGGGCCAGGCGGTCTCGTGCCCAGAGCAGATCCGCCCCCTGTACACGTACTGTAGCTCCAGAGCAAGCCTTGGGCCCCCGAGCTGCTGTCTGTGTTCTGCCTCTCCGTCCTCGAGAACTCGTGTATTTGCACGGAGTAGTGTTGAGGATACCAAGGTGAGCTGTGGTGTGCAACTCCTGGGAAAACGAACAGACAAGGGAGTCTGTAGCAACGTAGGTCTCACGCTGGGTGTACCCAAGCCCGTTCTTGGAGGGGGGCTGTTGCTAATAGTGGTTATCCTTGGAAGAGCCCCTCCTTACTGTCATCCTTAACGGACAACCTCTTATCATTTTACCAATTGGTCATTCATTGCTTGTACTTGCCACTTAGGTCTTTCATGAAAGTAAGCAAATGGTAGGTAGCAGGAGGAGATCTTGTTATGGCTGTCTGCTGTGCTAGAGAACTGCATAAAGCCTGGCAAATAAGGAATAGGGAAAGGTGATACCTGATGCTTGCCTTGCTTTCTCTCTTGTTCCATGGTAGCCCAACCAGTATCTTACTATGCAGCATGCTCAAATGAAGTCTGTAAGGTCCAGGGCATATGTAGTCGTATCTGTAAAAAGAAAATAACATCCACATTTGAATTGTAAGCTGTTGCTCCAAACAGCATTTGTACACCTGGCAACTGGTGCTGAACTTACAGGTGGAATCAAGATTTGAAGAAACTTGCCTCTTGGAGGACATAGGGGAGAGGGAGTTGTCAGCAAAAATTCCATTTAATAATTCAAAACAATCAATGATTTGGAGATGTCTCAGTGTTGTAAGAGATGTTTAGAATCCTCTTTTTAAGTGATAATTCTGTTTCCCTTTCTCAGTACGAAGATCTGCAATATCAGATGAAGTTTGGTGGAGGCAGATGAAAGACCCTCTGCATGTTTGTTAACTGAACTTACATTATACGAGGGCTGCTCCAAAAGTAATGCTTCTTATTTTATTTTGTTGGCCAATGACGTCAGAGGCAAATATTGGTGGTATGGCAGTTAGAAGTTGAACCTCCAGACCAGTATTTTATTACATGCTGTTAGCATGCAACAGATGGCAGACCATGTCTGTCAAAGTGATATTTGACATAGAAGTACATCTGAAGCAAAGGTATGGAATTGAATTCCTCCATTTGGAAGGAACTGTATTTATTGACATCAGTATTGGCATGTTTCAGCAGTGGCAGCAGTGCCGTGAAAGAAAATACGTATTCTGGATGGTCATGCACCGCTGTCACCATGAAATGAAGAGCTTCTTGGTCAGCCCATCTGGGTGAATCAGCTGATGGTGATGACTGCAGTGAAAAACAGTGTTTTGTAGCTGAGAATTTGCTCTATCAAGTAGTGCTATTGTGCTCCTGGTATTTGTTGTAGTTTTCATGGAAATAAATAGGAGGCATTACTTTTGGAATGTAGTACGTAAGATATTTCTTGAAATGGGTTATAAATAATAGTAACTTGTAGTTAAGTGTCTGATTTTCCCTTTTAGATTTGTTCGTGTGCATTTGTGTGCATTAATGTTTGTTCATTAATGAGCCCGTTCCAATTATTTTGAAGTGAGCAACCGGAATTTTCTTCTTAATTTATTGATCCAGCATGAAGCTGAAGGTGGTTATGTCCTGGATTATGTCATTATTAGAGATGAGATATGCTGTCACCACTATGAATGAACTGGTTTCAAAACTACAATTCATGGAATGGTTACGTATGAATTTCCCATCGAAGCTCAAGATGTAGCCCTGTTGGATAAAGCAATGTACAATTTTGGGGTAGGAAAAGGATGATCCTTCTGGATTTTCTGGAAACTGGACAATCCCTCAACTCTGACTGCTGTGTTGTGACCCTGTCTGAGTTGAAGGCTCACACTTCCAGAGTCAGGCTGGAGAAGTTTCTCTTTCAGCATGATAACGCCAGGCCTCATCTGTTTGAAGACCATGAAGCACGTTGCCAATCTTAGCTGGACTTTCCTACCACCTCTAACATAAAGTCTGGGTTTGGCACCTTCTGACTTCCATCTGTTCAGGCCAATGAAAGATGGTCCACTTGGGCAAGATTTTTCTAGCATTAGCGCCATCCCAGCACCTGTGAAACAATGGATCACCTCCACTAAAGGGACCTTTGTGAGCATGGCATGCAGCTCTTGTTTATCACTCCTGAAAATACATAGCTAAATGGTGGTGACTGTATTGAAAATAGCATTCTACTGCTATGAATTTGCACTGTCAAGTAGTACTAGTGTGCTTTTTTTATCAGCTGTAGTTTCCATGGTAGTAAGTAGGAGATGTTACTTTTGGAGCCGTCTGCTTGCTTTTGGCTACTGTATTTTTCTGTCACAAGATCCTGGTGTTGCTGACCCTTTTTCTTATTTGATGTAGTGTTGTATTCTAAGATTTTTACCTCATCGCGTTTTTTAGCCTTTTAAGATAAGTCTAGAAGTTGTTGGCTTAGAGTTACAGTACTTGGTGTTTTATTTAGTTTTTGTAACAACGTTGTGGGAGCTTGAATCGTGATAAGTAGATTCTTGAGCATAGCAATTCCGTTCCTGTTGTTTTGTAAATACTGATACTGTTTTATCATTCTGAAATAAGAAGGCTATTAAGAAAACGGTCTCAAGTTCCCAAACCATCAATGGTGGAGACTTTTATAAAACTGAGAAAGAAAATATTTGGAGTCTCTTTGTCTCTGGTATTCTGCTGTTTGGGAAAATAATGATGGCTGCATCTGCAGCAGAACACTGTGTAAGTATTTTGATACTCAGTTAATGAACAACTCTTCATTTCAGTGCTCCTTTACTTCTAATTTTACTTAAGAATAGCTTGAATGATGGAGTTGTTTGCTGAAAACAATTGCGGAGGAGAAGACATGAATACTTTTTTTCTGACCTTGTTCCAGTTCTGTGTCTCGCTCTATTTTGTTGGGGAACAGTAGGAAGGAAGAGGTCAGACAGTGAGTTTTAACACATCTGGTTTCTGTTACTTGCTTTAATTGCTGCATTCTATTTTAGTGTTTTATACTTTTGCTTACCACCTAAATATCTTGAGAGCCCTACTTGGAATATCTCTAACAGCTATGTCCATATTCCTCTTTGGAGTTCTTGGCTCTCATTGGTGTTTATAAGATGCGGGGTGTGCTTTCTGATTCTCCTTTTCCCTTGTGGTTCTGTATTTTTTTTTTTTTTTGAGCAAATGAAAGTGCTGTTTTTTTGTTTTGCTTT